AGCTGCTACGGTCTCTCCTTCTGGGGCGTAGAACCTGCTGCACCAGCTTCCGGCTGAGCTGGGAGCAGAGACCAACCTCCAGGGCCCACCTTGAATGATCTGTTCCCAGAAGGCAGCAGGGAAGCCCTGTGACCACCAAGAGTTCCAGGGTCCTTGTAGAATTCAGATTTGGGTAAGTTAAAGCTCGTATATGTTCAAGTTCCTCTTCAAAAATTTGCTCATGTGGGTTGAGTACCCAAGTTACTTCTTGAAGCTCTCTTGATTTGCATGCTGCTGGCATTAAACATTTGTTTAGTACAAAAGCATTACAGCATGAAAGCACTACCACTGTTTGCCAGCTGTAGATTAAGGAAGCAGAAAGAAGTGCCTCATCTGTAACTTCGAGACCCTTTGTAAACAGTTTTTGTGAACTGCTCAAGATTTCAGAAATTCTTATTTTTGGTAGAACAGAAAAAAAGTGGTCTTATCATCAAAATTTAATAACTTTTTTCCTTAATGGCCTAGTACCTATATATCAGGAAATAAGGAACACAGACATGAAATACAAAAATAGAGTCCGAAGTAGGATATCAAATCTCAAAGATGCAAAGAATCCAAATTTACGGAAAAACGTACTGTGTGGGAATATCCCTCCCGACTTATTTGCTAGAATGACAGCAGAGGTGAGTGTACCTGAATAGAAAGTTTCTGTGATGCAATCCTGTAATGCCACGTGTAGAGCCTGTTCAGATCGTTACGTATTATACAACTGCTGCATATGTAAGTCGCTGTTAGCTCTCCTGATATAAGTGGACCAGAGGAGTACTTAGGGAGTGACCGTCATGTTAGTGCTCTGCCTCTTCCGTAGCTGTTACCATATACAGCTGCATCATGTGCAGTTCACCACATACAGGGAGCTACACCGAATCATGGAAAACAGGTGTGTACAGGTGTCTTTCCTGGTCCATGGGGGTATGTTCCAAGAGCCCTGGCGGGTACTTGAAACTGGCCAGCACTGAACCTTGTATATATTTTGTGTTGTTCTTCTGGTTAACTGAGATAGCCACTGAATGACTGCGGGTCACGGTGCCCACGCAGAAGGAATTTGCTGGACAATGGGAGGATTTATGTCCTGGGTTTGAGGGAGCAGGGCAGTAGAGTCACAGCAGTGTGAGAGTTAAAGTTCATGAACTGTTTACATCTGGAATTTCTCTTTAATACTTTCACACTAGTAATGCCGGGTGACAAATCATGAAAAGCAGAGCTGCAGATTAAATGGGGTGCTACTGTGCTTTTAATGAATTCATGTGGAATCCAAGAGTTAAATCTTTAATTGCAAATAGACTTTGTAACTGCTAATAAGCTTTTCCATGGTTAAACACTATGAAATTGGCACATTGTACTGATTACTTCTTAAATTTATATAGGGAATAGTAAGAAAATGAAATTTATAGCATACTGCTGGGTCGTCAGAAAAGTCATGACACATTTTTACATAGAAAACACATGGACTTTCCGACAACCCAATATTTATAGACATAGCTCTAGTGTGTCTGCAGTCGTGCTGTCTTAGCGTCCAAGACAGTAAATTTGTCTTTCTGCAGAGCAAAAAGCTTTCTATATACTTAAGTCATTTTTGCAAATCTTATTAAAATAACAAAGCTGTCACAAAGAGAGCATGATGTAATGAGAGCGCTCGTATTTACCCCTCAAATTCAAGTGTTTTCTAGAATTTGTCAGCTCTTTTTAATCTATCACATTTTTCTTTTATCTTCTTGAATTATTTTCAAGCAAATCACAGACATATCCTTTCAGCTCTGTGTATTTCGGAAATACCTTTAAAATGACAGTTTGTATATGTGTCTATATATAGCAACATTTTCATTGTGTCTAATAAAGCTAACGATAACTCCTTCATATCACTGCATACCTCGTTTATATCACTGTTTTCGCCTCGTGCATTTACTTCATAGCAGGACCCAAACTCTGCATGTTGCCTTTGTTCTGGCTCTTAAGGATTTGTGTATTTTTTAAAATCTAAAATAGTGTCTTTTTCCCCTCATACACATACCCTGATTTCTTCCAATGATTTATTTTGATGGCTGAGGAAATTGCCTTATCTCTGGCCAGTAGTAGTTCCTTCCTATTGACCTCTGTCTGTTCACCTCAACCACAGTGACCTTTGGTTGCTTCTGTGCTTTCTGGCACAAGATGACCCTGGCCCAGCCTGTGTATTTCTTGCCTCAAAACTAGAACCAGACTTTCCTCTGTAGGTCTATGACTTCCGGGGGACAGGAGGAGGTGGGGAGGGTACAGTTACATTTAGGGACCACAGTCTGGACCTGGGGGGTGCTCATTGCTACAGGTTTACATTGTTTGTACTTAAATACAGTTTTCATATATAAACATCTGAGTTTTTGAAGTTTTAAAAGGAAGCAAACTCTTCTAAGTCCTCCATAGAAAAATAATAATTTTATACTTTTAGTACTTTAAAACTTTAATTTAGTTATTAAGCTAATTTGAGCACATAAGCATTCAGGATGTTTTTAGACGGTATCTAACTGAGTGGTATTGGCCCCTCCTTAATAGGAAATGGCTAGTGACGAGCTCAAGGAAATGCGGAAAAACTTGACCAAAGAAGCCATCAGAGAGCATCAGATGGCCAAGACTGGTGGAACCCAGACTGACTTGTTCACATGTGGCAAGTGTAAAAAGAAGAATTGCACGTATACACAGGTTTGTGATGATCCTTAGACGCTTACTTTCACACTAAGAGTGATGGCAACTTCTGTCACAAAACAAGTAGCAAAGGTAAAGCCAGCACTTGGTTTCATATTTTTCAAGAAGAGATTTACCTTTTTGTTTGTTTGTTTGTTTGTTTTGAAAGGTTTTTGCTATGGGGAGCGTGTGCTCGCCAGAAAGACAGAGACAGAAAGTGAGAAGTCACTCCCCGGGGGGATGGCCACGCCGCAATCCCTTCTCCTCCATTCTCCTGTCGGGATCCGGCATGCACGCACACGCGCCCAGCGTGAGTTAAAGCCACTGGGTCCGGGATTCGAACTGCGGTTGGCTACATGGGAGTTCAGCAACATAGCTATTACGCCAACCGCTGGTCCCGAGATGTGCTTTTTTAAAAAATAGCTATTTATTTTATTTATTATAATTTTTTAATTTGACCAGAGAGAGAAAGAAATGGAAAATGAGAAAGCAATCCATCAATCCTGGGACTCAGAAGCCTCAGTTGGACATGTGGGAGTCCAGTGCCTTAACCACTATGCCTCCTGCTGGCCCCAAGATGTGCTCTTAGATGTAAGAGTCATTTCTAAAGATGCGGTATATACATACACACAATGGAATATTATTCAGCCTTAAAGAGGAGGGAAATTTGGGCCAGACAGATGGCATGTGTTTGAGTGGCTGGATCCCACATGGCCAAGTACATCATTCAAGTCCCAGACCTGGAGGTTTAAGAAACACGCTGGGTGCGTGTGAATGTGCGTGCGTGCCTAAAATCCCCAGAGGAAAAGAGATTGTGGCATGGCCATCCTCCTGGGAGATGCTTTCTCATTCACCCCCTTCTGTCTCTCTGTTTAATACACGTGCCTTATAGCAAACAAAAAACAAAAGTGAATTAAGTGTGACTCTTAGTTATCATGTACCCACCAAGAGAAACATTTTACAAAGTTAGGAGTTTTCTCCTATCTGTTAGGGCTCCCGATACCAATATGAAATATATGTACCGTACAGGAGATGAATTTTTCAAGCCGTTTTTACTCAAAGACCTTAAATAAATGGGATGTTGCTGTTTTGAGAATGGTGCTTCATAACTGGGATTTTTGAGTTGAAAGTCATGTTGATAGTTTACTGGTATCATGAAGCTTCTGATCTTTAAAGTGGTGATAATGGAGGTTTCATCTCACACTAAATTTAAATATGCCTTATTCAGAATGTAGCATTGTTATTGTTGAGGTTGTTAACCATAACTTAAGTAAATTTAAAAATAACTTTTACTATTAATAATGCTTTTGTTTTCTTTATTTAGGGATGGGAATAATTTAGGGAAGTACTTTTTTTCTTTTCTTTTTTTGTCATAGGGTGTGTACACTAACCAAAGAGAGATAGAGACAGTGAGAGGGAAAGTGAGAAATCACCTCCCAGGGAGGATAGCCACGCTGCAATCCCTTCTCCCATTCTCCTTGTAGGATTTTGGGCATGCATGCTCATGTGCCTAGCATGATTCTCAACCTGCCGCATCTGGGATTTTAACCGCAGTTGGCCATGTGGGAGTCCAGCATCTTAACCAACATGCCACCTGCTGGCCCCAGGAAATACCTTTCTTAAAAAAAACATTATTTATTGGGACCAGCAGTTAGCGTAATGGCTATGTCACTGGACTCCCATGTGGTCAACTGTGGTTCAAGTCCTGGACCCGGTGGCTTAAACTCACGCTGGGCATGTGTGCCTGCGTGCCCAAGATCCCAAGAGGAGCATGGAGGAGAAGGGATTGCAGCATGGCCATCTCCCCTGGGGGGTGATTTCTCGCTTTCTGTCTCTCTGGCAAGTGCACATGCCCTATAGCAAAAACCTCTCCAAAAAAAAAAAAATTTTTAATTAATTTATTTTAATTTCAGCAGAGAGAGAAAAAGGGAGAAAGCAAGCCGCCAGATCCAGGATTCGAACGGTGGTTGGCCATGTGGGAGTGTCTAGTGCCTTAACCACAATGCCACCTGCTTGTCTCTAGAAGTGCCTCTTTTTACATTTTAGACCTTTGATTGCAAGGATTCTCATCAGTGGAGAACTTCACCAGTCTATTTAATATAATCTTAGGTAGAGAAAATTGTTGAAAATCATTTTAACTTTTTTCCTTGCCCAATTCTCTCTTTAATTTTTAAGTTAACATATAGTAATTGTACATATTTGTGACAGAACAGTGTGTACAGTTCAGTAGTTGAACACTCAGAGTATTGCATATTCAGTCTCTAGAAAGCTTGTCCTCTTGCAGAACTCTATACCTATTAAGTAATCACTCCCCATTCCCCTCCCACTAGCCCTTGACAACAATTATTCCACTGTTTGTCTCTCTGAATTTAGCTACTTCTGCGTGCTTCACATGCTGTGCTTGTCTTGTGACTAGCGTCTTTCAGTTAGCATAAGGTCCTCAAGGCTCATCCATGTTGTAGCAGGTGTCAAAATTTATTTCTTCTTTAAGGCTGAATAATATTTCATTGTGTGGGGCCAGCCAGGTGGCTGGTTAAGGTGGCTGGGTTCCCACATAGCCAACTGCATGGTTCAAGAGCCAGTTGTGGAGTCCTGAAAACACTCTGCGTATATGTGTGTACTTGCCCCAAACCCAGAGAGAGTGAAGGAGAAGGGATTGCGGTGTGATCGTCTCCACTGGGAGGCACTTTCTCATTTCTTTCTGCTTCTGTTTCTACATTGAGCCCACGCCTCCTATCTAAACTAAAAAAAAAAAAAAATCCAACGTGCGTTCATACCACATTGCATTTATTCATTCATCCCATTGGGCTACTTCTACCTCGTGGCTATTGTGAATAATGCTGCTTAAGTACTTGGGTGTGCAGATAACTCTTTGGGACTCTGCTTCCTGGGTTTTGGTGATAATCCTGGCAGCAGAATTGCTGTATCATATGGTCATTTTAGTTTTTTGTAGAGCAATATAATAATACCTGCTTATGGAAAATTTGGGAACTATAGAAAAATTTGAAGATTTAAAATCAGCTATTAATTTGCCATTCAGAAAGAACAGTTATCAATATTTTGGTGTCTCCAATATTTTGTGAATTTTTTTGTAAATGTAGCTAATGCTAAATACTGTAAAAAACTATTTTACATACTTTTTACTTAGCTAATATTTTCTTCTTAATTAAAACCCTTTATTTTTATTTCATTTCTTTCATGAAGGACTGGGAGAAAGAGACAGTACTTTTTTTTTTTTTTAAGGATTATTTATTTAACTTTATTTATTTATTCATTTTAATTTCACGAGAGAGAGAGAGAGAGCCACCAGGTCCAGGACTCAAACCGTGGTTGGTCATGTGGGAGTGTCCAGCGCCTTAACCACCATGCCACCTGCTGGTCCCAGAGACAGTACTCTTAATAGGATCTTACTCCCACGATCTCTTCCCAAGCTTAGCAAGCCTTGGAGCACAAGGCACCTCAAGGAAGTCTCTGGGTGTGAACTCAGAACCTTTCCATGTGTGTCGGCCATGTAGAGCATTGAGTTTCCTTTATGCCACCGTCCAGCCTACATACATACGTACATTTATTTATTTATTTATTTTGTTTAAAATTTAAAATACACCAGGTGCTTATGTGTGTACCTAGGATCATGAAAAGGTAGAGAACTGGAGGAAAGTGGATTGCAGTGTGACCTGACTTCATTGCAGGGGCCAGGGGAGAGGTCCGTTTTCTCTCTCAATTCTGTGTGTGCACATGCCATCTGGCATTAAATAAACAATTAGACGTGAGGTTCCTGGGTTACAAGCTGTCTGTCGTGTCTGTCATGTTCCACTGCCGTCTCAGCCAGCTCAGGTCACAGACCCCGTGTGTACAGGGAGGTCAGGGATGCCACTCAGGACATTTCCATTTGGGTCAGTTGAGTTACTGCTGCATCACTGCCTGATTTATCTGCTAATTTGTAATAAACATTCTTTTTTTTTTGAGAGATTTTTGCTATAGGGCGCGTGCACTTGGCAGACAGACAGAGAAATAGAGAGGGAAAGCGAGAAATCGCCTCCCGGGGGGGATGGCCACGCCACAATCCCTTCTCCTCCATTCTCCTCTTAGGATCCTGGGCACGCACGCACACGCGCCTGGTGTGAGTTTTAAGCCACCGGGTCCGGAACGCGAACCGCGGTCGACTGCGTGGGAGTCCAGCGACATAGCCATTACGCTAACTGCTGGTTCCCTTAATTTGTAATAAACATTGACATGTTTAAATTTATACATTTCTGTACTTCTCACTGATGAGTTTTTTTGGCATATTAGCCGTATGTAGAACTTTAATGTGTTAGAGGATTTTCCCAGTTACCTGGAATAAATTAAACGTGAAAGATGAGAGATTTAGAAAAATGAAGTTTGGAAATATATACTCTTTTGAGATTATTTAGGTTATTTGGGCTTATTTCAGGCGCTTACCATTTTATTTTGATACCATTGTGTTTATTATGTATTTTTACACAAGAACTTTCTTCTTTAGGTTGTGCTTTTTATGGTGGTGCAAAGAGTAATCTTACTTTTTTCTTAGTTTTTTGCCATAGGTGGTGTGCCCACAAGAGTGGGACAGAGAGAAAGTGAGAAATCACCCTTCTCCAGGGGTGATTGCCATGCTGCTTTCCCTTCTCCTCCAATCTCCTTTCAGGATTTTGGTCATGTATGCACATGTGCCCAGTGTCATTTTTCAAGTTGCCAGGTCCAGGACTCAAACTGTGGTTGGCCATGTGGGAATTCAGCACCTTAACCACCACGCCACGTACTGGCCCCTAATCTTAATATTTTCACTTGATGTTGCTACAGGTACAAACCCGCAGTGCTGATGAACCAATGACAACATTTGTTGTCTGTAATGAATGTGGAAATCGATGGAAGGTATGGTACCCTCTTGGATTCAGATCATGCTCTTTTATAATAGAATCTTTCCTAGGCATCTGTATACACATATGTTCACCCTCTCCGGCACTATGGATGTCTCTATTGTAGCAGCATGTGCCGTTTTGAACTCTACTAAAATAAAGAGTGTTAACTTGCTTTTACTACCTTCATGTTGTTTGGTGCAAGAAAGCAGGAGTAGATCTTAAATGTTCAGTTACTGCAGCGCGGTCCTGTGATACAGTCCTGAAATCGTCTGACTCTCATTCTTGCAGAATATCTTTACAGGTTTATTACTTGTCTTACTAGACTTTGATTCTGGAAAATATTTTTTACCTTATTATAGTCAAGCTCAGTGATTTTAGTGTTTGTCTTAGGAATTATAGGCGTGTACTATAGTGGTTTGTAGGCTTTGACTAGGTATACCCCTGAGTTAGCCCCACACAGGCGACTTTATGTTATTTAGTTATTTAGTTCATTCTTGAGGGATTTTTGTGAGCCACATAAGTAATATTAAAATGGGGAAAATAATTACACATCTGTTCCAATGACACTTTTATGATGAATACTGTGGAGGTATAGGGTTGGGAGGCTCATGTGGTGGGACTAGCCTTTAGAGCCAGGTAAGCTGATCTGGACTACCTTGCCACTTCTCATTACTGAACTATCATGTATCACATGAAAATTGTACCTGCTCTGCCAGTGTAAGGAGCAGTAGAAACTATTTAAAAATGCCTGGTAATTGTGTTCCAAAAATACTGACAGTTTTTATTAATATTTGTGAAGTTTGTTCAAATTCTTTTTTAAAAATTAAACTCATTTTTTCAGTGTAATGCTCATTTTGAATTATTCACAGTCTTTTAAAAACCTTTTCTAAAAATCAGAAGTAACTTGGAAGCCAGATAAATATCATCCACAAATATGATTTGGGACTTTGGCTCTAAACACTGTTATTTATGGATTTGGAGCCAGTACTTTTTGTTTGTTTACACTGTGATCCACCTCCAGGCTCAGCCAGCCTGGATCCTGGGGTGGCTACACATGCCTGGTGTGCAGGGGGAGGCCTTGGAAATCAAATCCAGGACCTTCCCATGCAGCGTCAGCATGCTGGGGCGTTGCACGACTGCTGCATTACTGCAGCTGGCCCCCATTATAGCATACACCGAGGCGCAGTTCTGAGCTAGGAAGGTAATGGGCGCGTGTCTTTGTAACGCCAGACAGTTTCCCCTACCTTTCCAGCTGCCACAAGTTTGTGCATTGGTTTAAGAGGGACAGTCACTTCTGTGTTTCTCCAGTCCAGGTGGACAAAATTTGCTTATACAGATCACTCTCCTAGATTTGTTTTGTCATGGAAATAATTTTTATTGTTGTGTTTATATTGCAGTTTGTTTTATGTATGCTCAGTTCATAGCACAAATTCTGATATAGTGTCTGTTAAATTTAAGAAAGTTCAATTTAATGTGAAAAAGATAATGACCAGAGTGGCATATGCTAGAGGTTCTAATTTAGGATTGTTAACATTTTTTAAGCTAAAAACATTAAGGAGAGAGATACTTAATAAAAAACTATGAAAATGTTTTATACTAGTTCTTTATTTATATATTTCTTTTCTAACCTGGGAAACTTACACTTAAGATGGGTAACTATTATGTGGTAAAAAAAAAAATAGAGTTTTTTTCAAGGATACCCTCACTTTTAGCAATGTAAGATGTATTCTGTGTTAAATGGAGAAGTTATCCCATTATTTGTATTTAAAGGTCTCACAGAATATTTCTTCTTTTTTGACAGTTCTGTTGAGTTGGAAGAATTGACAAAATGTCTGGACCATTAAGAAAATGGATTTTGTAATTAGCTTTAAAACTAGGCCAACCAGCTAGTTTTCCTGCAAATCAGATTTTTAAAGCAACATACATCCCTTGGGTTCGTCTTTGTTCTTGACCTAACATCCCTTCCTTAAAATGCCTTTCGTAGTTTCAGATCAATAGGGAGACCGTATAATAATTGTATAAGCATCTGTTTTAAAGCAGGTTTTTTTTTTTCATCTTTATAAGTAAGTTGATATTAAACTTTTATCAATTAAACTTCCTGGCAGTTTCTTTTTTCTTAAAGGAAAATACACTTTAATTTTATTTTTACATTCTGAAACATACATATTAGCAATTCTCTGTTCTCTCTTAATTTACATAAATGGAAATTACATTTTTCTTCCATTTTGGCATGTACGTAAAAATATTAAAGGAGAAGAAAAGGTAATATAATTTTAGATTTACCAAATGAGGTGTGTATTCAAATAATACTTGACCACCTTATCTAAATTGTACATACTATTTGAACTAGCATATGAATTTGATTTTCATTATTATGTTTTCCAGCCTGGGATAATTAAATACTGTTTTTGCATCTGTAACTAACCGTGCTCATCATTTCTTGTAATTTCTTGTATATGTATATTACTTGTTCTTAATAGATTTTACATTTGGAAACATGACTTGACTTTGTTGAAATCCATTTGGTTTGTTGTTTATTTACCTGTTTGACTTTGTAGTGTATTTTAGCTTTATAGAGCAGCACTGTTATAGTTTTTACGCTTTTCATCAGTCCCCTCACAGGCAAAGAGGGAAAACTTCCGGTGATTTTTTTCCCTCATGGGAAGACCTACTGGAAAGAAAATCTAGTGTTTTAGTATAGTGTAAACATAGTTTAGTGTTTTAGTATAACCTGGCAGTTCATTTCTTGGTTTTGATTTAGAAATCCATACTGACCAAGAATTAATTTTAAGGATTGTTTAAATCATTAAAACTGTGGTCTTTCCATATGGATGTTGATGGAAAATACTTTGTCCTCTTCTGTTACGTGGTCAATGAGAGTGTTAACACACGGAATATTTGGGCTATAGCACAAAGCTTTACAGTACAGATCTTGACGTTAGCTTATTTTTTATTTGGTGTGCACCATTCTGTTCTATGTAAGTTCTTTAGGGCGCACTTGTTCCAGCACGTCTTTAAGGCCACGGCGGCCGAGTCTGTGTTTTACCGTGATGAACTTGCATTCTGTCAGACACCTGTAGAAAGACCTCAGTAGATGCTTTGCACTCTCCTTTGCTTCCCTTCCCCATTTGTTACTGCAAAGCATTTTGATGTATTACAGACAACACTTAAATATTCCTACTAAGAATTGGCCCACCTGTACCAGCCCCATAGTTGGTAACTTTGTTAGTTCATAGGTGAACCTTTTGTTTTATCATTTCAAAAATATAGTGCATTTTGGAGAAATCAGTTTAAAAATAATAAAATAGTCCCACTTTTAAATTAAAGTGATCCGTTTAAAATTTGTCATTCAATAAAGTTCTTTGTTGTTAATTGTGTATCACATTTTATTGTTCTGTTTAGACATTGATGTTTGTTTTACCTTTTGTTTACCCACTCTCTCCCTGCCAACTACTAATGTATTTCTAAAGTACACTTTTCATTTAAGTGAAGCATGAGTTTATTTAATAAGTAAAAGCTACCTTTGAGCAGTAATACAGAGCATGGTGGTGTTCTCTTCTTTCCTTGGACCCCTGGTGATGGTTGGAGTGGTGCTTCTGGCTCTTGAGTGCACCCTATATGTGTATGTAATGCGAGATAAGAGACTAAGTAATTAATTTTACTAATGAAAAATACTAACCAGTGGGGCTAGCAGGTGGTATGGTTAAGGCACTGGATTCCTATCCTACATGACTGACTATGGTTCCAGTCTTGGACCCAGCGGCTTGAAAATCACAATGGGCAGGGAACCAGCAGTTAGCGTAATGGCTGTCGCTGGACTCCCATGTAGTCGACCGCGGTTCGCGTCCTGGACCCGCGTCCTGGTGGCTTAAAACTCACGCCGGGCGCGTGTGCGTGCCTGCCCAAAATCCTGAGAGGAGAATGGAGGAGAAGGGATTGTGGCGTGACCATCCCCCCTGGGAGGTGATTTCACGCTTTCTGTCTCTATGTCTCTCTCTGTCTGTCTGGCGAGCACACGCGCCCTATAGTGGAAATCTCTCCCCCCCCCCAAAAAAAAAGGAAAAAAAATCACAATGGGCATAAGAGTGTGCATGTCCAAAATCCCAAAAGGAGAATAAAGGAGAACGGATTGTGGTGTGTTCATCCCTCCTGGGGGTGGTTTCTCACTTTGCCTTCTCTGTCTCTCCTTGTGCCTATTTCTCCTTCTGGCAAGTGCATGTGCCCTGTGGCAGAAACCTAAAATAAACAAACAAAAAAGTAAATAAATAAAATAAAAATAGTAACCACTTATAAAGTAATTGGAAATAGACTAAATATTATCTGGGGCAATGTTTTATACTGTTTATTGCTAGGACAAAGTAACTATGTTAAATGCACATATAAAGTAATTCAATTAGACAAATACAATGGAAAATAAAGAACTATTCTGAAAAAGCAGAAAATAATCTTGGTTTTCTGAGTGATGATGAGCTTGATTTATAAATTTTGCTAAGTGTGGGGCCAGCAGGTGGCATGGTGGTTAAGGCTTGGATCCCATGTGGCCGATTTCATGGTTTAAGCCCCATACTCTGGTCTGAAAAACACACTGAGCACATGTGCGTGTATGCCCAAAATCCTGAGGGGAGAATGGAGGAGAAGGGATTATGGAGTGGCCATATGGAGGGATGGGAGGTGATTTCTCACTTTCCCCTCTCTCTGTCTTTTTCCTATAAACACTAGTACCCTAACGCAAACATTTTTTTTTTAAAAAAGAGAAAAACTTTTTTTTTTTTTTTTGCCTTAGGGCCTGTGTGCTCACCAGAGAGGCAGACACAGTGAGAGGGAAAGTGAGAAATCACCTCCCATCCCTCCATATGGCCACTCCATAATCCCTTCTCCTCCATTCTCCAGGGATCTTGGACATGCACATACACACCCCCAGAGTGATTTTTGAAGCCACCAGATCTGGGATTTGGACTGGCCAAGCGATATAACCAGCCATCAGCTGGTACCAAAAGAATGAAAAAAAAAAAGTTGCTAATCTTTGACAAAGCTTATGAAATAAATGTGTATATACATACACATACGTGTGTGTGTGTGTGTGTGTGTGTGTGTGTGTGTGTATATATATATATATGCGTGTGTGTGTAAAAATATTTTTACTTCTTGATGTAGGTTGTGTGTACTCATCAGAGAGAGACAGAGGAAGAGAGAATGAAAGTGAAAATCACCCCCAGGGAAGATGGCCATACCACAATCCCTTCTTCTCCAGTTTCCTCTTGGGATTTTGGGCATGCACACAGTTGTGCCTGGAGTGATTTTCAAGCCACCAGATCTGGGACTTGAACTACACAACTGACCACGTAGGATCCAGTTCTTTCACTTGCCCCTTCTCCTCCATTCTCCTCTTGGGATCTTGGGCATGCATGCACACGCGCCCGGCGTGAGTTTTAAGCCACTGCGTCCGGGATGCGAACTGCAGTCAACTACGTGGGAGTCCAGCGACAGCCATTACGCTAACTGCTGGTCCTATGCTTTGTATTTTTATAGCTACCCTGTGGTTGTCTTTAAAGGTCAAAGTATAACTTGGAGATTTGGATTGATTTCTCAAAACAAAAATTACAGTTAGAGTTTTGTTCTAAAGAGTTTTAATCAAAAGTTGTTCCACCAAGGGACCAGTAGTTAGCATAATGACTACGTTGTTGGACTACCATGTAGTCGAACTCGGTTCAAGTCCTGGACCCGGTGGCTTAAACTCATGCCGGGCACATGTGCGTGCGTGCCCAAGATCCCGAGAGGAGAATGGAGGAGAAGGGATTGTGGTATGGCCATCCCTCCTGGGGTGATTTCTCACTTTCTGTCTCTCTGTCTCTGTCTTTATAGCGAGTGCTGGCACCCTATAGGAAAAAACCTCTCAAAAAAAAAAAAAAAAACTCTTCCATTCAGTTAGCTGTAGAAAATTAGCAATTCAAAAGGAATTGACTATTCTACTGAGAAATGTGATGGAGATAACCATGAACAGGAAGTTACTTGATGAAAGTCAGAAATGTCAACCTTCAAGGTACTACTTCACAGGAAATAGAATAGAGTTACTGACATTTTCCTAGGTAGTAATGGAAGAATTAATTAGGTTGAAGAATGTTCAAGTAAATTGAAAGCAGTCAGAAGTAATAAAGAAGTACAATGAGAAAAACAATTCTCATGACCTTCGTAAAAATGGAATTGGTGAGTTCTTGTGAGAAGTTGGTTTGCTGCTGTATCTTTATCACCTAGAAGAATTTCTATTCCTACCAGGTGCTCTTGAAATAGTTTTGTCTTGATTGTGTTGGTGTCAGTGTGTTACAGTTTTTCTTAGCTGTGCAAGAGCTAAAGAACATTCCCACAGTTTGAGGGCCTGTGGGAGTAGATTGGGTAACTACTGATTAGTAATGTTTAAGCTCCAACTTTCAGGGAAGAAATACCATGATGTAGTCTTGGGAGATCCCTTTTGTTGCTTTTAAGTCAGCAAAAGTGATGCAACAGTTTTATTTTAATTGAATTTTTTTTTTCCAAATCAGCCTGTGTACTCTTGTACTTGTTTGTTCAAGTAGAGAATGGAAAATCAAAGCACAGATAACTATCTCAAATGATCTACCTTGTTCTCTGTTCCTCTCCCTGGGTGCTATATAACGACAGCTAATTATTATTTTTTTTTTCCTCAACGGCCATGACTGCAAAGATAGAAACACATTTCATATGTGGATGCCATGCAGTCTGGTAAAATCAGCCCAAGTGTTTACATAGTTGGGTGACTGAACTACTTTGAAGTAAAATTTGTCTAATAATGCCAGTATGAAAGTATAGTGACATAAAAAAAAAAGTAAAAACCCTGTGAACACTGGAGTTTGGAATGGTGTAGCTGTAGCCTTTGTCTGTTTAGCACTAGTTTTCAGACACTCTTCTGATTCATCTAGGGGACATCTCCCCTCCGTCTGACCTTGGTTGGTCTCATGCACAGCGTTCCACCTCACTCGTGCTCTTTCCTGGGATTACCGAATGAACAATGACAGCTAAGCCAGCATGAGCGGAGGCTGGGGCTCCCTGTCTCATTTTGCCTACTACATGCAGAGCGCCTTTGTATGTGATGAAGCTGAGAGGAGTTGAGATGGAGAGAGAGCCCTTGTTCACACTGGGTATCTGGATCCAGCCACGGGGTAGCTAGAACTACCATGAACTTCCTGCTTACTAAAGCAAATCAGTTTTCTTTTTGCTTAAACTTGTTGAAGATAGGTTTCTGTCACAAGTAACTGAAAAAAAATTGTTTTTAATTGGTTTTGGGTGAATGTTTGAGTTACATGCAATAATTTATATCAGCATCAAAAGCTATGAGAGTACTGGGAAAATTTCCATTTAATCTGCAGAAGCAAAAGAGATCTGGAGAAACATTAAAATTTCTGTTAAGGTTATAGGTCAGTATCAGACCACTTTGTCTTGGGATTGTTTTGCCATATTTAAAAAATAAAAAGTTTTGTAAAATTTAAAAGATACTGTATTAGCGGTCTCTAGAAATTATTCATCTTGTGTAACTGGGATTTTATACCCACCGAACAGCAACTCTCCGTTTCCCTTCCCCCACCCACTGGCAACCACCATTCTCTTCTCTGCTTCTGTGAGTTTGACTGTAGTTTAGATCCCATTCTATAAATGGGATTGTACAGTGTTTGTCCTTCTTGACTGGCTCATTTCACTTAGCATAATGTTCCCAAGGTTAAACATCATCATAACCCGTCAGTTTTTTCACATAGGGTAAGAGTTCCCTTTTCTGTGGCTGAATAATATGTTTTAGTATACAGTTATATACTTTTTTTTTTTTTAAGATTTTTGCCATAGTGCGTGTGTGCTTGACACAGAGACACAGTAAGAGGGAAAGTGAGAAGTTATCTCTCAGGGAGGATGGCCATGCTGTAATCCCTTTTCCTCCATTCTCCTGGTATTTGGGACATGTACACACACATGGCTGGTATGATTTTCAAGCTACCATGTCTGGGGCTCAAACCACGGTCAGCCATGTGAAAGTCCAGCACCTTAACCATCATAGCAACTGTTGGCCCCAATGCCACATTTTCTTTATCCTTTTGTCCACTGGTGGCTCTTGTTTCTACATCTTAGTAGTGTGATAACTGTAGTAAGCGGGAGTGCACATTTTCTTTTTTAAAGAATTATTTTATTTAACTTTATTTATTTTAATTTGACCAGAGAGGGACAGAGAGAGAGAAAGTGAGAAAGCCAGCCGCCAAGTCAGGGACTCAAACTGTGGTCAGCCAGGTTGGAGTCCAGCACCGTTAACCACCATGCCACCTGCTGGCCCAAGGAGTGAATATTTTCTATTAGAGAATCTGATTACTGTTCTTTTG